TCCAACCCCTCAGACAGAGACCAACATCTACAAGATCTTCACCAAGCATTCTCAAAACTACAATATCCGCACAAGGAAATAAAAAAACAAATCAACAGAGCCAGATGTGTACCCAGAAGCCTCCTGCTACAAGACAAGCCCAAGAAAGAAACCAACAGAACTCCATTGGCCATCACCTACAGTCCTCAGCTTCAACCTCTCCAACGCATCATCAGTGATCTACCACCCATCCTGGACAATGATCCCTCGCTTTCACAGACCTTGAGAGGCAGGCCAGTCCTCGCCCACAGACAACCCGCCAACCTTAAGCATATTCTCACCAACAACCACGCACCGCACCATAACAACTCTAACTCAGGAACCAATCCATGCAACAAACCTCGATGCCAACTCTGCCCACATATCTACACCAGCAACACCATCACAGGACCTAACCAGATCAGCTACATCATCACCAGTTCATTCACCTGCACGTCCACCAATGTTATATATGCCATCATGTGCCAGCAATGCCCCTCTGCTATGTACAGTGGCCAAACTGGACAGTCACTATGTAAAAGGATCAATGGACATAAGTCAGATATCAGGAATGGCAATATACAAAAACCTGTAGGAGAACACTTCAACCTCCCTGGCCACACAATAGCAGATGTAAAGGTAGCCATCTTACAGCAAAAAAACTTCAGGACCAGACTCCAAAGAGAAACTGCTGAGCTTCAGTTCATTTGCAAATTTGACACCATCAGATCAGGATTAAACAAAGACTGTGAATGGCTAGCCAACTACAAAAGCAGTTTCTCCTCCCTTGGTATTCACACCTCAACTGCTAGCAGAGGACCTCACCCTCCGTGATTGAACTAACCTCGTTATCTCCAGACTGATTCTTGCCTGCATATTTATACCTGCCTCTGGAAATTTCCATTACATGCATCTGACGAAGTGGGTATTCACCCACAAAAGCTTATGCTCTGAATACATCTGTTAGTCTTAAAGGTGCCACAGGACTCTCTGTTGTATTTTCCCCAGTATAACTGTGTCCACACTCAGGTTTTTGCTGGTATAAAAATTTTGCCAAAAAAACCCCCCCACCCCAACATAACCAACACTGTTATACTGGCAGGAGTTTCTAGTGTTGACCTTGCCTAAGGATAAGATAAGCTTACTGTTTAACAGTTGATTTTTCTAAGTGCTCTAAAAATGCACAAGCACACTCAAATTGTTTTGAAAATTGCTGAGCTTAATAGTGGTCTGAGAGTAGGATTACTGGGCCAAATTTGGGGCCATTTAACCTAGGGGCTCCCAAGATTCAGCATCCTGAAATAAAGAAGCTGACAGTAACATTTTCTGGGGTTCGTATAATTTTTTGCACATACCGGAGGCTCAAAATATTTCACTGATCTACCCCAAAAACTGGTATCACCTGATTAGGTCTGTATTCAGCTAGTGTCCAGCACCTATACTAGCACTTTGGTTAAGTAATTTTTAACAAGTTAAGTGTTTAATTTAGCTCTACAAATTGGCTTGAGCCTGGGTGCTAGAGACATCAATTTGTACATGTAGTGCAAGACTGCTGCTCTGAAGTGAGAAAGTGTGTTTATAGGCACACCTGCTGTCTGTCACTGGGTAGCTCAGAAGCAACTCCCAAAAACTGTGATTTTGAGTCCTGCCCTCAACAGATTTCTGAGAATGTCTGCTGTGCACTCTACCATTCTCTGCCCACAATCTGCTTTGGATGAGGGGCTTCACAGGGGCTCCACTTTTGGAAGTTTTGCCCTGAGAGAAGAGCCTTTTGTTTAAGAGTGGATATTTCAAAGTGCTTGAAAATCCACACAGATACTCGGATTGTCTTGAAAAGTGCTATGCCATGGCACAGAGCAAGCAGTGTGCATTTGGGGTCATTGGTCAAGGAGTTCCTCAGATACAGCTCCCCCAATACAAAGCTATTTGTTACAATCAAAGTACTCTAAATCCCAAACGCACAGGGAAATTGTCTTGAAAACTGGTGTGCCATAGCAGAGGTTCATATAGACTTTGGGAAATGGGGAAGAGCACAGACTTTGGGATGAATGGACCACTTCATATCTCTGCAATCCTCCTATGGTACAGGAGCCCTTCACCTTACACTAGCCCCCAAAGTAGACTAAGGAGCTTGGCATTCACCTCTGCCTCTACTTGGTAGCTATACCCTCACAGCCCAATTGCCTCTTTCTTTCCTTCCTATAACCCCTCCAACCATACTTGGGCCATGGAGGGAACAGGGGGAGAAGAGACCTGGTATCTGAGTGGTGGTGAGGAAGACCCATCAATCCTCCCCCTCCCTACAGGTTTCCCTCAACCATGCCCTCTCACTATCATCACTTCCTCAAAATACAAGGAAAACTGACTACCCAAAACTTTGTTACACTTGACTAGCAATGCGCCTCACACTTTTCCAGAACATTGAATGTGCATAAACCACTAAAACCAGGAAATAAAGTGCTATGGGAAACATCTAGCACTGTGAGACTTCGCAGGAGTGTTTGAAGAAGAACAATGGTATACCATTACACTGGACACAACACAGAAAATGGCAGTTTTTTTTTTTTAAAAGGGACTGGTCAGGTTTGCTTTTCTTCCACTACCAATTGCCAGCTGCAAAGGGGGACAGAGTTACGGTTCTGTGGAGGGAAGGGCTGTGGACACTATTACTTTAACTTTATTTTCCAGCTTAACTTTATATTATCTGTGTTTAGAGGCTTAGGTATAAGTGCATTTGACATTCTGGAAGGGTATGAGGCACTGCCGGTCAACCTTATGTCTGCATTAATGAAGATTTTGAGCAGTGAAATTACGTTTTACTTCGGCTTCCTCCCTGTCCTGACTTCACCCAATTACCCCCAATCCTTCCCCTTCAGTCAAACCCGTTAACAAAGATTATGACAAAAACCTAAAGAGTAAGGGAAAATTATATGTTGCAAATGTAAACTCCAGGTTTTAGGAGGGAAAACAGGTATACTGGGGAGCCCTGGCTGAGGCCCTATTCCACACATACTGCTACTGTCTCAACTGGAAGTCTTGGCACCTCTGAGGGCTGTAACCTTACTCTGGAAGATGGATGCTGCTACCTCACATAACAGTGGGAAAGTCAAGGGGGTCCCTAGTGCCTCTGCTTTGTCTTGGTCAGGGAGAGCTTGCTCAGGGATCTCAGTGTAAGAAGAATATCCACCATTTACAAATGTTCATGTTTTCATGTTCAAAAGAACCTTAGAACATTAGGTGTCACCACAACATCCTTGTGAAGCAGGTAAATGCTTTCCCCCACTTGACTTAGAAAAAAATGAGGCAAGTCAGAACTCAGAAGTTCTTGAATACCAATCCTGTACTCAGGCCAATACACCAATACTTGTTCAGAACTCTCAATATTTTAGTTTTATATATTGTAAACTAATTCTGTGTCCTACATCAAATCACAATAGTGTCACAGGCAGTTTCTTCTCCTACTACTCCTTCCATTTCCAGCCAGCTGAGCTGCAACACAATCCAAATATCGTCCATCGCCAAATATCGTCTGTTATGTTTAGCAAGTACAAGTACACTATGCAGGGCCAGGCCAGGCCAAAACAGAAGTCAATGGCTGAAAAAAGGATGACTCCAAGACCAAAAAAGACCATACATTCCAAGACCACAAATTAGCTTCTTTGGAACATTTCCCTTCACAAGACATTTGAGGAACAGACGAAAGGCAGGCTTACTGTATTAATTATGAAACCATAAAAGTGTGCACACTTCAAATGAATGTTCCTAATCTTGATGAGAAGAAATGAAAGTGTCCAAGCATACTGAGAACATCTGCTCTGTTAGCGATGGATCTCCAAAACTTGTACAGTTACTTGAAAAGGTGATTACAGCCTCTGGAACCTCAGACAGTGAAAAGCAGAAGTTTCAGGTTTTTACATGCTCTGACAAGAGTCATGGTGTTTTGGAAACACAAAGGTTATATTTTGTTGAGCAATGAGTAAAGATCCAGCAATCAGATTACCACATGGTAGGGTCTGGGTGCAGGGTTTTGCCATCTTTCCATAGAAAGATAAAACAATTATACTGGTGAGTACCAAGAACTAATGAACTCAAACCACCACTTTTCAGAATCATGTGTCAAACAGTACTGAGAACCTGAGATCCCCAAAAAATGGGAGAAAATGAATTCATACTCTGCGGAAGAAAAACCACATTTATAAGCTACTGTGCGCCCTCCTGTAACAGCACCATTAATGTGTGTCATGTGTTGTAGTCCCTCTTAAAAGTATTCTTTACAACTTGGCATTTCACATGGGCCCTTTGAGTTAGAGTCAAGTCATTGCCACAACAAGAAGGAAGATTCAATGCAGCAGGCAGATAAGAGGCAAAAATTGCTAACACTCAAGAAATGTGATGTGTTGTGGATGTGTACCGTGCTCATGAGTTTGCAATTATTGACTTGAATACTTCTTGTGTCAGTGATGGTCTGGCAAATGCTCCAAGAGCAGATTTAAATTTTTTATTAAAGTTGATGTTTAAAATTAAATATACACAAGTTAAGAGGAAAGGTACTGTACATCTGGGGTCCGGCTTGAGTTATGAGGGATTACAGGTATCAGTTACAAGGATCACGAGATACATACATATCACATAACCAGAATAGACCCAGATTGAGGTACGGGGTTTTTTAAAGCGTCAGTGGATAAGTGGGCTCGGGTACGCCACCCATGGAATGTATAAAGAGTCCTATTACAATGGAGTATGAATAACTTAATTTTTCATATTTATCAATTCAACAAATATTATCACAGACAAGTACAACTTCTTACAGTCTCTATAGCCACTATATAGTAACCATTCTGCAATTATAAAATTCTCAGACATTCTTCATACCAGAGACACAAACAGTTTACAACTCTACATTACTAAAAACGTGTCAAAATGCAAATTTAATAATTCATTTGAACTTTTAAGCCTTAGACGGGGGGAAAAAGAAAACTTACTTTCTCTGTAGTTACAGTAAGAGACGGAACCAAAGATGGTGAAGACTCAGACTGCTTCTTGTATTTTTGTTTGTGTTTGTCTTTTTCTTTATATTTCTAAAAAATATGAAAGCAAAATATAACCCAAGTTCAGGTTCATCTTCAACATAATCCATGTATGACATACATAATACAATTTTCTATTATTTAAACATAAAAAACAAATTTTGACTATAAAAGTTACATTCTTGTGAAAGTCAAATATGACTAATATTTCAAATATTAAACTACGCACATTTTGTTCAGCAGAACCATCAGAATGTTTGCATTAAGAAGCAGCATACACTGAAATTCTTTATTAGTTACAATTAGCATTACTGAATCTATTAGTGTTACTAAAATAAAACCATCTTGCCAAAAATCAAGATCTTAGTACCATAACATTACAGAAAAATTGAATTAAAAAGCTATATTGATATCCATTCTGTTTTAAAGTTCTTGTATTTCCACCAGAATTATTGTATTAATAGTGAACATTTTATTTTTCATTGGGTTATTACTATAAATCAACAGTAAGGCAGAATATTAACTCATTTACAAATCTCAGGCTTGCTCTACTACGGGTATCACAAATGACACTTTTACCAAGATGGCCACCTCCAGAAAACTACACTAATGTTATTTATTACAAACTTCAGTCTCAAATAAAGTTATTAGTTCATATACTGAGAGAAAATCATTCTGAACTTTCAGTATGTTAAACTGAGCAAACAGAATATTTCCCTTTTAAAATAGGCTGAAAAATTAGAAAGTATTTCTGTTTTCCTTTATTTACTGACCACAACAAGTATAGCTAGCTAATACTGTGCAAATATCAAAGAAAACTGTCTCTTTCCTTAACTGTTTTCAATCTAGGGGCATGATCCTGCCTACAAGCCCTCCGCATGTTTGCAGAACCAGGACCTATATTTTGTGTTCAATAGAAGGGTATTAACATGAAAATTGTGATTTTTATAGCATCAACCTGCTGTAGAAGTTCTACATTTTTTCCTGTGACTGAAAAGTTTTAGGGTTTTAATTTCTCCCTATAAACATTACTGTACTTTTGTTTGGGAAGATTATGCTGCCTGAAGTCACTAGGGGGAAAAAAGATTACTTACCAGCAACTGTTCCTTGAATATTTTACTTCTGCAGATTCACATTTCCAGGATTTTTGTGCACCTGCACCATACCCAGTAGAGCAGTATCATATATATGACCACTCCTTCACAGAAGCAAATGTTTGGACACAAAGCTACAAAAAGTCTGCATGGTCCCAACTCCTTCAGCTAACTGAAAGACTCAGAAGAAGTACTCCAAAAGGTGGAGAAGGAAGCTGGGCACTGTGGATCTGCAAAGGCATTATACTCAAGCCATTACTGGTAAGTAACCTTTCTTCTTCTTTTGAGAATTGTCAATGTAGATCCACATGAAGATTAAGTGGCTATACAATCCCCAGCAGGAGAGCAAAATACTTATTTAATAATGGCTGCAAAACTGCTCTTATGGCAACACTGTCAGAATCAGATGTCATATCAAGGGAGAAGTGCATGTAAATACATATAAATATAACTCCAAAAGTCAGTTTTCCACATATTTGCAACGGAAGAGCCATCAGATAAGCATGCCATAAAAGCTGCTTTAGAACTAGCTGAATGGGCTTTTAAACTTCCTTAGTAATGGGTCACCAACTAACTGAAAAAGTCTACATGCAAAGTCTAATTCATTTTGAAAATATGAGTAAAGCAAACTCCACTCTACACCCATAAACTATAAATAACTTGGCTGATTTTCTAAAAAGTTTTATCTTCTCTAAATAACTCAGCACCCTCTTAAAATCATGTTTATATTACCTAGCCTCACCAGGAAATGAATATGGTTTAAGAAAAACAGAATTTCAAAACATCTTCAGCATAAATATACAGCAAGACCATAAAGCCATTTTGTTCTTTTGGAACACAGTATAAACAGCCCCCACAACCACAAAACCCTGTAGTTTGTTCAGCCCCCCCCCCATGAAGCTAGTATAGCAACAAAAGATAACATTTAGAAGGGGGTAGTACAGACTGCTCTCCCAAACAGTTAAAAGGTTGTTTCCATCTGTCTTAAATTTTAATTTCAAGCCACTGAAATGGAAAAAATCTTCTGTCTGCTTGATATGTTCTACTAAGAACTTCTGTACAATGTCTAAGGACAGGGGAATCTGGAACCTCGCAGTGGAAAGCATAAATAACTAGAGCTGGACAATATGTTTAATAGTTTATTGGTGGATCCAAATCTATTTGTGAATTTGAGACAAATTCACTCAATAGTTTTGGCCTGAAAAAAATATTTTTGGGGATTAGCAGCGGCGGTGGAGGCGGTGGCCTCCCTCATAATCATTAGCCCAGTGGTTAAAGCACTCACATGGGATGTTGGAAACTAGGGTTCCATTCCCCTCTGTACTTGTTGTGGCACAGAGATTTGAATTTGGGAATCCCACGCCCTAAGTGAGTGCCCTAACCACCAGGCTATGGAGTCACTCACACATGCTCTCTCTCTCTCTGGCCCAATGATTATTTATTGTTATTCATAGCACTCTAACAATTCAGTCACCTAGGATTTGGGAGACTCAAGTTTAAGTCCCTGCTCCAATAACGATTTAATTATATATAAAAAGTGCAAAAGCTTCCACAGAATAACCCATGGCCAAGTAGCTAGGGCACACAAGTGCAATGCAGTTAAGACCCACATTCAAATTCCTTCTCCACACTAGGCAGAAGAGGAAACTGTTTCCAAGTCTCCCATATCCCAGGTGAGTGTTTTACATCAGTAAGCTAAGGCTATAAAGGAGGTCACCACCACAACCACAATGCAAAAAAATGTATTTCAAGTCAAACAAAACATTTCATTTAACCTAAAAACAGATTTTTTTTTTATTTGACACATTTTTTGAAATTTTTGGATTCAAATCAATCTAATTTTTTTCTGAACTGCAAGTAAACTGAAAAACCATTTATTCTCCCAGATCTAGAAACTTCTCTGTGTATTCTAAGAAATAAAATTTTGATATATTTAACTAAAACAAACACTCAAAAATATCAGAAATCAATGTTCGTAAAGTACACAACCCATTGGCCATAGTTCACACAAATCTTTTCCATTTCAAGGAACCTTGGCTTCCTTGTAGGCGCCTTCCTGGAATCTAAAATTATGTCCTGCATCTCTTTGGAGCATGATTTAATCCTTTAGATAAAAGGAGTCTGGGCCTGACTGTCAATTCTGACCTCCTTCCTAGGCAGAAGATCTGGAAGCTCAGGATGAAGTATTGAAAATTCCAAAGAAGGTTGCATGAGATCAAAACACCAGAAGTGACAAGCCCAGGCTGGAGCTATGAGAAGCAAGCGAGCTTTGTCTCCTCTTATCTTCCTCATAACATACAAAAAATGAACCACGGAATGAAAACAGGAAATGATTACTCCAGTCCTAAAAAAGCCATCTGTCAACATGCCAGTATCCTTTCCTGTCCTTTAACAAAAAGTGAACATTTACACACAGAATTTTTTGTAGCAAAAAAAAAAAAAATCTATGGACAGATGATTCTCTTCTCCAGCACAGAGTCTGTGCCACTGCGGTCTTCAAGGACCATTTTTGTTGTTCCTCTTCCCATGCTGGAGTATCAAGAGTCTGCAAGCAAATTCCTTTTCCCTAACAGATGAAAATCAGTCTTGTAGATTTGATAACATGCACAGCAGTTGCAAAGACCCAGCACCTTCTGATACAAAGGCTGAGAATGAGCACTTATTTCTGTAGCACATGGGTGTGGTACTGTCAGTTAACATTTAGCTACATAACTCTTGATTTTGTGTAAGGAAACACTTCAGAACCCAAAGTATTGCTTGTAATTATAATATATTTATTTGAAGCATGGTCTCCCCAAAAGTCCTCAAGTTTATCTTTAGACCCAGGGCTTGAAACAGGATTACTTTCGGAGACTGACAAACTTCTTGAAAGGAGTGGGTTTGAACTGACCAATCATCCAACTTCAGGTATCTATGAGATTCCTAAATTTCTGAAATGAACTGCCTTGACTCCCCACATTTTGTAAAAACCCTGGGAGCTGTCCAAAAGACAGCACTTTATAACTATGAATGTTTCTTACACAGAACTACAGATACTGTCCACTTGCAACTCTGATAGAATGATGGCAATTTCAGCTTGAACACTTAAAGGCCTAAGCCAGTCCTAACAGATAAGGAAAGGATAATGGATACCACCATCACAACATAATACTTGAATCTCCAGATGTACTTGTTCAACTGTCTCCAATCTAATAAAGCAGGGTGGACAAAAATCAGATTTTTTTTATTTAAATAGGTTTTTCCCTCAAAAAGCATTTTATCAAAAAAAAAAAAACAATCTAAAGATAGTTTTAATTAAGACACATTATAGCTCAAAGATCTCCCATCATGGAATAGGGATTAAAAGTTCTAATTCTAATTCTATAGTATGAGACAATATATTCATGTAATGTTTAAGGAAAGTTTTATAAATGAGTTCCAATAGTTCATGGATTAGGGACCCAATCTTATGAGGTCCCAGGGGCTTCTGTATAGATTATTTAGGTTAATCTTTCTATCTCCCCAATGGGACTCAGTGCTCAGTCTAGAAGATACTATCAGAGATGCTTAGTTTTGCAATTCTCAAACTGTGGATTTGTGTCTCCAGAGATAACATGTTTGTTAACAGCAAAAAATGTATTTAAATAAATAAATAATATATAGAGGTGAGAAATAACAGACCTCAATCCTATTGTCCCTCTGCAAATTTGTGTACACAGAGTCAATCCCTTACCTCTCTCTAAGGGCTTGTCTACACTGGCGCTTTACAGCGCTGCAACTTTCTCGCTCAGGGGTGTGAAAAAACACCCCCATGAGCGCAGCAAGTTTCAGCGCTGTAAAGCGTCCGTGTAAACGGTGCATCAGCACTGGGAGCCGCGCTCCCAGCACTGGGAGCCGCGCTCCCAGCACTGGTAGCTATGCCTCTCATGGAGGTGGCTCTCTCCCAGCGCTATGCCGTGACTACACAAGCCAGGTTAA